TATTTGGCTGCACTCTTGATGTTATGATCAACCAGACGGGCAAAATAATGATTCGGTATCCTCGACGGGAAAAGTCTTTGCGCTCTTCTGAAAATATCTCAGGGAATGTCATCGCGCGATTGATTCCGATATTGGAGAAATTTGATGGATTGCTCCATCGATGGGATTTCTTATGACACGTCGAACATTCGAATTTCACAAAGTACTCTAAACGTTTTGTTTGTTCTCGCGTGTGATACTCGTATCGGCGAGCTTTTAACAGCCTCGTTTGAAGAAGAATACGCGAGGTAAAAGGGACAAGGTCGTGCATACGATTTCTTCAGTTCTGAGATCTAAGTGCATTGGCAATGGGACACGTGCACACACTTACACGTACACGTGCACGTGCGCAAACGCAAGAGCTATGTCAAGCAAGACGTTTCGCTTACACCTTACTCTTTTCCCTGCTCACTTCTCACAAAGAAATGACATGGCAAAGAGATGCTTCACGTGAAACTCTCGCCTTGCTTTCGAAGATGCCGTGAGACGAGCACGGTGAATTCTTTTTTTTTTCATTGCACTTTTTCTCGTTCAAGATATGGAAGTCACATCAGACCTTTTACCAGCGACGTCGTAGAAAGGCGCGCCATTTCAATCAACAGTTTTCGCGATATTATTCCTTAAAATTCCATTCTAGAAACTTGACTCACTTATTAAATTTTAAATTGTATTAGATTTTATTTAACGCGCACCGCCCGTTTTCAAGCTATGCGCACAAAATGCTCAGATCATGATAGAACGAAATGAAGTCTTAGACAGAACGAAGACAGACGTCTTAGACGGCAGAACGGAGAAGTTCGTTCCAATTAGAGTTTATTAGTCGTTTTATGATATCCCTTGTGAGACGTATAATTCAAGTAAAAAATATCAATTTTACTTTGCATGTCACGAGACAATCTTAATGAGCTTTTTTTGAACTATGTAGGTACTTTATGCTGCGAGAAAGTTATCGTAATAGTTTCGGGTCTCAAAATTAACGTATAAGCTTTTTTTATTTACGATCTAATTTATCATGCTTTTTAATTTATGTTAAAAATTCAATGATATATATAACACTCGCACGTACAAACTTTATCGATTATGTTAATTTTTTTATTATACCAACGGCATATTATTTTATTGGAAAAAAACTACTTGTTTTTTTGTTTAATTTTTTGTACTTTTTTCTACCTATTGCGGAAACATTTTTGAAGAATATTTACACTACTGTTTAAACTATTTACATAAAATGTCAAGCATAATTTTGTAGTTTGGATCAAATATTAGTATATTTATGTATAAATTTTTAATTATAGTAATAAGTAATTACCAGAAACATTTTTATTAATATTTTTGCCAATTTATTGACTATAAATTTATAAAATGTTAAGCAAAAATAATATATTTTTAGTCTGTTTTTAATTAAATCTTTTAATATTAATGGATAAAAGTATGTTTCGAATTAAATCACAGATTGTGTAGTTTTTAAAGTTAAAAAATGATATTTTGTATAAATAATGGAAGCATTTCAGAAATAGGCTTTCCTTATATTAATGTTGGTAATGCATAGTTATTAATGATGATTACATAATAAACTCTCAAAATTCACTTCCAAGCGAGTGAACGCGACGGCGAGGACATGCTGATTGCAACAATGGCAACCAAGAGTGGCGTATTAAACGGCCAAGAGAAATAGGAGAATGGAGCATAAATTTACTGGCGAAACATGTCGGACACGGGATGCAATACTTGTTTGTTACGTCGTATGCGGATCGGATATAGTGTTGCGTTTGCTCGTACGTTCGTTTTCCAGAACGATCAATTGGTTGCAATTGAAACGCGATATTTGTTCTCTAATTGGACTGACACTTTTTATTGTTGCTGCTGATATTTTTGCCTTGTCAAACAAACGTCAAACAAACGTCAAAAACGAGAGAAATTGTCTTAGGCGTAATTTCGCACAAAAGAAGAAATAAATTTTAAAAGTAATGTAAAGATTTGTACGAGAGAAAATGTTTCCAGAAAAGGTTATAAAATTATGCCGAGTTATTTGTTTATTTCTTTAATATTGTAAAGTTTTTTTTAAATTATTATATGATTTTATATTTTTTATTATAATTGTATCATGATAAAATCAATATGTGATAATATCACCAAACGACCGTACATATTAGATGAGATCTCTACGGGTACATGGAACATTATATCTATGATTTGCTACCCTCTCGCACATAAAACTTCAGAAGACAGCGCTTGCTTCCGAAGCGAGTACGTTCTGACTGCCACAGACGAAAATATTTTATATGTCGCGATAAGGTAACGACCCTCTTTCGGGGTTTTCCAGCCAAGACTAACGAAGTTCTCCGACAGTCCGGAAAATCGAGTGCCCGAACTGCTTTCCTTCGTCTTTCATCGACCTGAATTCGCGTCGTCGCGGATTGAAACTCAGAAAGAAACAGCGCAGACCTGCGAGGACTACAAAACTTGCTCAGTTGAACGTCTCCAGGACTAATGATTTTCCCATGCACTTCGATTGGTTTCGTTATTTCGTTTCAACGGTAACAAAATACTTGCTTTGCTTTCGATTTCGTTTTGCCGTATTGGCAAAATGCTTTCACGTCTCTGCATTTCGAACTACGAAAACTCACAGTCAAATCTCTCTCTTTTAGTTTTTCTTTAGCCAATTCTCGCTGTTGAAGGAATCAACATTAGGAAAGACCATTTATTTGATTTATTTCGAGTGGCCGTATTTTTGCGGCTCACTTGTATATTTACTGAAGTTATATAACATTACATAATTATTTGAGAATAAACGCACATTAAAATTAATTACTTTTAATTTACATTCATTACTTTTGCTGCTAAATGCAATGCAAATATAATCATTTCAATAATTAAACTAAAACTTTACAATCTTGCAATATTTTTTGAATCAACAGAATTTTAATATATTTTATACTATCTGTAAACTGATCAAGTTTTATAAAAAAGAATTTCTAATTAGATATAAAAGCCAATATTTGTGGACAAACGAAATTCTGGTAATATTATAATATGATTAATATTTCGCTCGATGAATTTTCGTTTGCCAACTTTTTTCATGAATTTTTGGAATGATCCTGCATCAAAATAAATCACCCACGATTATATATGTATATTAAAGTCATTTTTATTACGTTATTAATGGCCAGACGTTCGATTTTGCACAAACATATCGAAAATTTATATTTATATCCGGAAAAATTATTATTATAGTCTCTTAATTAATCAGAGCGTCACGAGATGAAAAACTGATATATTTGCATGCAATTCTTTAAATTAGATCGTATTTCGGCTTATATCCTCGGACAGTTCCGAATTCGTCATCTGTTTCCGCGAGTGTGCGTGCTTTCCGGTTGAACATTTTTTGATTAATTATCCGAGAAGATCGCGTGGGAAACGTGGTCTGTTATCTAAATTATCCCTCCTCTGACGAACCACTTGCAAACGACGTGAACTGTAGCGGTCAGAGCAGGAAAGTGCGAATGATTTCCGTTCCTACTGTAGAAACCGCGCTATTGTTTCACTAAGTCGTCAGAAACTCTCCCGCTACTACTCTAGCAATTTCGTTCGCTCTTTCTTCCTTTCTCAAAACGTATTTTTGGCAGAAGAATTCCGAATCCTGAAACACGGATGAGTTTATCGGGTGAGGCCACAAAGTGTTGCGAGCTTAACTTCCGAAAATAGGATTTAGTTTTCTCTCTCCCTCTCTCTCTCTCTCTCTCTCTCTCTCTCTCTGGTAAACGGACAATCTGATACTGATACAATCTGTTTAGAAACTTGTCTTCAGCTGCAGGATTCTTGGTCAATGTAGAGTTGATTTTTCTTCAAAATATCGGGAAAATAATATTTTACCAAATGATTAAAGAGAGCACATATATTTTTAAAATTAATACTATATTACATGAGTCCCTTAGTTGACAAATGGCATAAGTCCCAAATTAGGAAAATGCGTTTGTTATAAAAGTAAAAAGTATTAAGAATATTAGTTTTTATTTATCAATTTAATTAATCTTTATTTTATTTTTATATTCATAAAAAATAAAAGTAAATTAAATTGATAAATAAAACAAACATTCTTAATACTTTCTACTTCTATAACAAACGTATTTTTCCTAATTTTGGACTTATGCCACTTGTCAATTAAGGGACTCATGTGTAATGTATCTAATATAAAAATTAAATATTATTAATAATATTTTTTGATAATATTTTAATTATATTTTTATTAGATATGTGTATAAATATTTTAATTTGATACGTCAAAGTTAGTACGTAAATATCATTTACTCGAAATGACGAGACTAATTTTCAAGTATAAGTGGTAATTTAGCGAATGGCAGACATGTTACGTGATCTACGCAGAGTGCATACACACTTGGAGGATTTACAGCGTGGCAACATACGAATCTGGATTTATGTCAACGGCGGCAGCATGCCTTGACGTTTTTTCGTGTATCTATGCAAACAGCAAAGTCCGCTCGTATGGCTTATTCGATTCCATTAAGTACAGCAGAAATGTTGAATTTACGAAATGTTCGATATCAATTTAGGAGTAACATCATGTTTCCACGCAACAATTTTTATTTCAGTATTAAGGCCAATTAAATTTTATTTGTATTTATGAAATATACAGACGATAAGCATATTATCACTTAATCGCAAGATTTTTATTAAAATATTTATTTAATTGATTTTAAATAATTTATATGTTTGAATATATCTCTCTTCTGTAACTTTTTAATAAATTACTTATCCATTTATTAAGAATTCTAATATAATGTATAAGTATTTATATCGAAAAATAATTTATATTAAAATAAATTGATAAAGACTAAAATAAAAAAATAAAAAGTAAAGTATAGGTACTTTATATATCAAGGAATATACGGTAGTCTTTTAAATGTATAAAAAGTTCGTTTATACATTATCATTGTCTATCATCGAACCACTTGCCATTTTTTTGGAATTATTATGTTATATTATTAATTAAAACAATTCGCTGCATGAAGCAAAACAATTTGTCTCGTCCCGTATTTCCTCTATATTCATAGCGAGAATGCGGAAGTTTGTTTCATTTAGATTTAATGTATTAGTAAAAACTCGCTGAAATCTGTTTGTTAAAACCATCAGACATTTTCCATGATTTACAACTTTCATTCCACTTGCAAATTGCAATAATTCGGAATTTTGCGCTATAACCTCCTAAAAATTAATGTTTGATTTTACAAAAATTAAAATTGTACCTACTACAATAATTGCTTTCGCAAGAAACAAAATAATGTTAGTAGAATATAAATATTCGAAATAATTTGTTACCGAATAATTAAAACATGAAAAGAAAATGCGTTTAAATATCTTACTGTATTGGTAGAATGAAATTCTGTTCCAGTATCTTGGCACAAAATGGATGTTTTCGGAATATTGCTAAAAAATATTGCGCATTGCTTGGATGCTATCGGTCCCGTTTGGCCAGATAACGTACCCGCTAGTTGAGTTAGTTTATCAACTTCACTTTGGCTTAGTTTTAAATTGTTTAGTTTTAAACATTCTTGATGAAGATTACACAGATCCATCTTATATATTTCCTTTCCCGCTAAGGGAGCATAATACAACTCTGAAACATTTGCAATGGAGATATTAACAATCGCAAAGGCTAACAGTATGACATTACTTACTGGCAAAGTTTTTATTTTCTTACATTATAGTTAAGCGTAAATATGTATAAATAGATAAGAAAGCAAAAACAAATGGAAATGATACGACTCAAGTATCAACTTAAAGATGGATTAAAATTTTTTTAGATATATACAGACTTAATGAGTTTGTATAATAATCGAAATAATTTTTTTATGTAAAAAATAAGTACTTACGTTCATAAATAATTGTTAAACCGAGAATACCGTCCTCCAAATAAAAACTCTGGTTTTCTATCGTAAAATTGGCATCAGTCGGTTTCATGTAATTAGATTCGATTCTGCAGAAGCCAATATTTTCGTTGTAAATAGCCAAACCGTAACCTTCTACGTCAGCCATAAATACCTGAACGTATTTCTATGTTAACCTATTATATAATTGTTATAATAATTGCATTTCGAATTAAGTCACATTATACTAACGGTCGCATCACTTATGTATTTGCAATCTCGAACATAAGCAAGTGGTGTTACGAGCAATCCAGTGCCATTTTTGTTGTTAGCGATGTGAGGTGGAATGTCAATACGTTTAACGAGCATATTATTTTCTAAATCGAAGATCAATAGTTGCGGAGGACAAACGGCGTTTACTCCGACTTTGCCGCAATCCAGAACGAAGATGTGATTGCATTTGATCTAATGCCAAATGTAGATATGCATAATAATATTAATATTTATAATAATTATATGTCGCTTTAAAAAATATTAATGCTCACGGACACTCGATATACACTTATGATACCATTGCAATCATTCTCATTATACCATGACCAACTTGGATATGGATCCAAAAGTGGACCTCCCGGTCCTGTTTCATCAGATACTACCATCAGACTAGCTGGTACTCCTTGTTCTCTTACCGAAGTAACGAATATTCTACCATCTACAAAAATTTTGTTTGTAAAAAATTGCATGCTATTCAGTATGTTTTATCGCAAATATATTATAATTTTATATTGCAACAGTACTATTCTTATTATTTTACTTATTTTTTTATCAATATGTTGAATATAATGTTGATCATGACGTTCATATTAAATACTATGTTCATAAATTACGTTTACTAGAAAAGGTATTTATGTTTCAATAAGAAAGAAATATAATTATATTTACATTTAATGTAAAATTACATCAAATTTAGTTAGCTTACTTTGAATAGTAATAGCCTACCTTGCGCTTCGTCCACGTCGTATAAAACGCATGAGTTAGGATTATATTTGCCAGAATTTATCGCATCATTCCTTTGATTCTCACTATCCCAAAGAAAATCAACGTATTGCCAATCGTACACATTTTTTAGATTAATACTAAAGCTTACAGTTACGATTGTCAGAATTGATATGACAAATAAAGGTTGCTTCATTTTTAGCGAATAGCTATTATAACTATTATTATACACAGGAAAATAATATAACTAAGCTCTACCAATAGACACGTATTTCGCAAATACAAATCTGTTAATGGTAGATTGCACGATGTTAGTCGATATTTACGGAAAGTTTTCAAGTTCATACATATGAAAATACTTTACTGGAAAGTCTCACTATCACCAGCGATAAATAATGCGGTCTCGCTTAAAAGTCGTTTCATTTATGTTATTCATAATGATATTTTGTGCAGGTGCATATAATATGCAAAATGTTATTTTATCAATGGGACTTTCAGAAACGAAAAATATTTTTTATATACAATTATGTTTTATTTTTTTGTTTTTTGTTTTACAATCGTAAAATAATGTATTAATTCTGAAATTGTGCATAATTAATTCTTTTTTTTATTGTTTATGTATATGCCAAAGTTGGTACGCGGGTTTACGACCATAGTGGTTGGCTGAAGCAAAACAATTTGTCTCGTTTCGTATTCGATTCCTATTCAATCGGAGAAAGCGGAAATTTATCTAGTTTAGATCTAATTTATCATTAAGAGCAAGCTGAAGCCTGTTTGATACGATTAGCAGGTTTCCCGAAGTATTTCCAACTTTCAATGCAGCCACATATTGCAATTTTTATCGTTATCTATCAATGAATTCTTGAGTAACGGAGGATAATGTATTTATTATATAGAGAAATACAGTGAATATAAAAATATAATCGATCAACTAGAATCCTATATCAGTCGAAGCTAGATCTTAAAATGCTTAAATAATTCAATCTTGAATCATGCTAAATATGCTATACATATATGTACTTAACATATATACCACATTTGTAGTCTAACAAACTGTGCGCCGAAAAATTTCCGGACTATATAAACGCAATTAAACCACTGTAGTAATCTCGCGAATTAAATTATTTTCTAATAATTTCGATGCTCAAACAGGCATCATATTTCAAAGACGTTAATATGCTGAAAAAACTGTAATTAAATTTATTGCGAAAAATATTATTTCATCCGGGAGTCGAACCCGGATCTTTGTATTTCGTACGAGCGTCCTAAACCATTAGACTACCGAGGCAATAAAATATAATGTGACATAAAGACAGTATCATTAAACTATTTGTCTTTCTGTAGTAGAATGAACGTTTCTGGGACGTTGCTAAAAAATATTACATTATCCTTAAATGTTATCGGACCCCTTTAGCTAGTAATATACCTACCTGCAGTTAATCTGTTAGCCTCGCTATTACTTAATTTTGATATTCTCGTATATTATGTATAACTATCTTAAATATTTCGCACCTCGCAAAAGAGAGGAGAGCATAGAATAACTTTAAAACATTTGCAACAAAGATATTAACAATCACAGAGATTAGAGAATGCCATCATTATTTATAGAAAAGCTTTCTATACTTTTTAATTTTTGTAAGTTATAGGTAAAGTTTAAATATGCATAACTATTAATTTTGAAAAATAAATAAATAAAAGTAATATAATTCAAGTAATTAAATTAAAGCTGTACTGAAATTCTTTAATTTACTTGTATATCAATTTATTATATAGGCAATTAATACAATAATTGCATTCCGAATTAAGTGTTAAGTTACAAAATGTGATGTGCGTGTTTTTGTGAAATAAAAACATCTTTATATTTAAAATTATCATCATTTATTTGATTAGCATCAGCCTACTTGGCGTCCTGTCTATATGTTGTATGAAATGTACTCGCTAGCACGTTATATTATAATTGTCTCGATTCTATCGCGTTTTCAGCTTTTGCGTCGAATCTTTCCACAGATAATGAAGATAGATACTTCCATTCGTTTATAGGTCTTTCAGTTCAACACTAAAGCTTATATTTATGATTGTTAGAATTAATGCAATAAGTAATAGATGCGTCATTTTCAGTATAACATGAGTTATGGTAGAGTATTCATTACTATGATGATCACTAATATTTGTAATAAAATGATTGAGTTTCAGTGATAGACTTTATCACGTATATCGCAAGAGTGAATAATAACAGCTTGTGCAATGTTAGACAATATTCATTGCTGGTGTTATATAAAAGCTATTGCAAGTTTATATAGAACGTAGTACTTATTTATAATATTTTTAATAGTTCTTTATACAATACAATTGATAGTTAAAAACTGCAATGTTTAAAGTCATGTGAGCTAGTATTATTGATAATAATAATTGTATGTATAGTAAGTGCAAAAAGTATTCGTACAGAGAAAATATTAAAAAAAACCTTATTTTTAAAAAGTAAGTATCATCCAGCGAGAGAAATGATTCCAAGTCAATTCGACGTTTAATTGTCAGTTATTTCTTATTGGGTAATTAACAATTTATTCATAAAGAATAAAATAGTATGTTTCTCAAAGTTATATGTACTAAAAAGATGTGTATTAATTATAAAAAATATATCATCTTAAAAATAAGCGAAAATAAAAAATCGTATTGTTTGGACGCTCAAAAAGTATTCGTATACCTAATCGAGAAATTCAACTTTTAAAAAATCAGGAATACACACGCGAAGTGCGTTTGTTTATGTTACAACAGAATGTATTTATTATATAAAATTGCTAATTAATGTTTATTTTCTACAAATGAGTTTTGTTATAAAAAATGTCTTCGTACAAATATTTTTTGCATTCACTGTATATCTAATGCACAATATGTTATCTTATCAATAAGTCCTTGAAGTACGGAAGATATCATGTTTGTTATATAAGAAATACACAGTGAACATAAAAATATTGTCATGTAAAGGTAGTACCGTTAAACAGTTCAATCTTTGTCCATAATTTTTTATTATTTATGTAAGAAATAATGCAAATTGCGATTTTTAAATTCCATCTAAATTTTAAATTCCATTTAAATTTTAATTCTATCTAAATATGTCTTATCTCAAATTATTTAAAAGGTTCAAACGTATTTCATAACATTTAATTCAATTATATTATTATATTTTACTTTGTTATAGATGCATAATGAGCAAGATGTTATTTTATCAATGGAATTTTAAGAACGAAAAATGTATAATCAATATTTTATTCTTTTCCTTTTGTCTTATAATTGTTAAATAAGATAACAGTAACTTGTTTAAGTAATGATATTATTGCTTTATGCAATTATTTTGTTATTAATAATGTATTAATTTTGATAGTGTGTATAACTAATTGTACATTATTCTTTTTTTTATATATTTTATATGTATATATGCATCTCAAACAAAAGTTTCTTGAAAATCATTTTATTTTCTAGTGAAAATATGATATCATACATAATTTCTAAGGCCCCGTCTACAATCAAGTCGGCTGATGATTGTCGGATGACGTTAGTCGTAAAAGATGGGACCTGACCAATTAAACGACGCCCGACAGCCGACATCAAAAACCAAGGTTGTGCGCATGCGCACGATATACGACACCGTCTTCCGATTGATTGTAGACTAGGCCTTAGAGACAAAGTATTATGATGTCTAGGTTAATGGCCGTGGTGATTGGAATCAAAACATTTTCTCTCGTTTTTTATTTTCATGATATTTAACTGGAGTATGCGGAAGTTTATCTCGTTTAGGTTTAAATTATTATTAAAGACACATTGAAGTCTGTTTGTTGCGATTAGTATTTTTCCTTCCTTATGCTCTCTAACTTTCCTCTCTTTATGTCTTATAACTTTTAGTCCACCCGGAAATTGCAATTTTTCAGAATTTTGTGCAATGACCACCTAAAAATTGATAATTTCATGTTATAACAATTAAAATTGTATCAATAGTTGTTATCATTAGACATAACTATGTTAATAGAATACAGTATTTACAATAATTTATTATGAAGTAGTATACAGAAAATAATTATATTTAAATATCTCTTACACTGCTGGAAGGATCGAATTTCTTAGTAGTGTCCGCACAAAGAATAGACGTTTCCGGGATATTGCTAAAAAATATTACATTACCGTAGGATGCTATCGGTCCCGTTTGGCCAGATAATATATTCGCCACTTTAGTTAATCTATTAGCCTCACTATTGCTTAGTTTTGAACATTTTCTTAGAGTATGCTTATTCATCTTGAATATTCTATTCCCTGCTAAAGGAGCGTAAAATAAATCTAAAACATTTACAACATATTAATATAATTCCAAAAATCAGCGAATGCTATCGATTATTTACAGAAAAGCTTTTTATCCTTTATTACATTTCATCCTTTATTACATTTTTGTTCGTTATAAGGCGTGAATATGCATAATTATTAACGTTGAAAAATAAGTAAATAGAAGTATTTTGATGTAAATACTGTCAAAACTGGATTTAAGTTCTGTAACATTTACTCATATAATGTAATAAGCTTACATAACAATTAAAATCATTTTTGTTTTAAAAACTTGAGTACTTGCTTTCATGAATGGTTGCTAAACCAAGAATACCGTCTTCCAAATAAAAACTCTCGTTTTCTATGGTAAAATTGGGATGAGTTGGTTTCATGAAATCAGATTCAATTCTGCAGAAGCCTAAGTATCTATTGTATATCACTAAACCAAAACCTATTACGTCAGACATATACACCTGTGTATATATATTTGTATTAGTATGTTGATATAATATTTTATATTATTATTATTATTAATATATTAGTTGCAGCTGGGCATTCATTGCAAGATATAATGTGTTAACTAAACAATATATACAGGGTGTCCTATTGTAATTTACTCAGGCAACTATCTCGAAAAATATGCGGTATGGAAAATTTTTCAAATAAAAGTGAAATGATTTTAAGAGGAATGTATTTTGGTCACAAGTGGGGCTGCCAAAACATATAAAGGTCACCTTCATTTTTTAATGAAATTACATGATATGACTCTGAATTATTCTGTATAAAAATATTAAGATAGAGGTATCAAAAAATCAATAGTTTACGAGATATTTCATACTTTATTCTGACACATATTGACATAAGATATCAAGTATATATATCTGATAAACTATTATTTTTTTGATAATTGAACCTTAATACTTTCATGAATAAAGTAATGAATAGAATCCAGTTGGGTAAAAAAACAGTTGCAGTTTTAAAAAAATATGTAGGCAAAATAATTTATTAAATACAAAATAATTAGAAGAATCATGTTATGTAAAAAAAATCATATTTAAAAAAAAGTGGAGTTGACATTCGTATCATTTCGGCGCCTCCATCTAATAAAAAATGAAACAACGTAATCAAAATACGTCCTTTTCAAAATTCTACTTTATTCTACCTTTATCAGAAATATTTTTCTGTGTCTTCCATATTTCGAAATATTTTCAAGCTATTTGTCTAGGTAAATTAAAATGGGACACTCTGTATTTGCACTATTACAGAACATATACTATTATGATTATAAACGCGTAAAATCTGAGAAAATACTAACAGTTGCATCATCTATGCGACTGCAATCTCGAACATAAGCAAGTGGTGTTACAAGCAATCCTCTGCCATTTTTATTATCAGCAATGTTAGATGGAATAATAATACGATCAACGAGCATATCATTTTCTAAATTAAAGATCAATAGTTTCGAAGGACAAACTTTATCTCCTTGGAGTCCATCTTTCCTTCCAAAGTCCAGAACGAAAAGGTGATTACATTTGATCTAACGCAAAAATATGTAGATATGCACAATATACAGGGTGTTTCCAAATTAAATCGCAAAACTTCGGGAGCGTGTAGAGGAGTAAAAAACTAAGAAAAAAAGTCCTATAGACATATGCTCGTTTTTGCTCCGTTTCAGAGAAATCGAAAAAAAATGTTTATATTTCTTGCCATATCTAGCACCGACATATTTGATTACATTTTCCACTTTCTGTTATGAATTTGTCAGTCGCTCTTTGAAAGCCTTTAATAGTAGATGAATTTTGTCTTTTGCAATATGCCGCGTACGTATTCTAATAGTGAATATGCTGATATGGTTTTTGTATACGGTTTCTGCAACGGTAATGCTTTAAAGGCCTGGCTGCTACAAGAGCCGTGTTTGACAGATGCAATGCTTGTATTGCTGCAAGAGGTGCACATTTCGAATTATATATATATATATATACAATAATGTATAATATAAATTATTTGTATACTATATATAACTATATATCGTTTTAAAGAAAGAAACTAATACTCACAGATATCCGTAATACACTTATAATATTGTTATTGCAATCAGTAGTGTCATTATACCATGACCAATTTGGATACGGAGACAAAAGTGGACCTCCCGGTCCTCTTTCATCACTTACTGTCATTACACTTGCTGGTACTCCTTTATCTCTTACTACAGTAACGAATACTCTACCATCTATAAATTGATTGCAAAGATCTTGTGCATTCAAAACATGTCTTTATTGTAAAGATATCATAATTGTATTGCAGAAATAATTTCTATTGCATCAACAACATAGAATACTATATTAATTAAGCTTTCATGTATAAAGTTATTTATTTTTGATTACCGTTATTTTTTTTATTAAAGTTAGAGGAGATCGGGTCTCGTTGGCACAAGAGATAAGTTGGCATTGCGTTCCATTTATGTATTTGTGGCAAAAGAAACAATGGAAAAGTTACTGCAAAATATCTCTTATAACATAGGTACTTCTCCCTCAATTTCATTTAAATTAAATGAGTATTACAATAGAAAAAGAAAAAAATCTAATTCAAGAACAGGCAAGTAAATTTTTGATCATTTCATAAATTCATATTAATGTCCTTCGGCTTGAGAAAGCAAATCTAAGGGATGTATTATTAGTTAAAAGAAAAGTGTTTGTTAGTGTACAACACGTTATTTTGAGTAACAATAGTAATTTATTACAATAAAGTGATCAAAATCAGACATGTGTAGGGATGGGGTACTTTGGCTCATATCATAAGAAAAAGTTAGGTTGATTTATTGTATCGCACATGTGAACATTCATTTACAATTTAACTCTGACAAAACACTTTATATTTAATATTTCTATATTAAAATGTAAGATAGAACTAAAATAATTTATATTTGTTTTTCTGTAACATTTTACTCTTTGATGATTACAAAATAACTTTGAAAGATACAATTTTTACTAAGAAATATATATCTACTCTCTAATTTTTATTTCTATTACTTTTCTATTACGTTTTTGTTAATTTAATATAGAATTTATCACAAAGACAATTTATACTATGATACACTGTAAAAAATAAAATGTTAATTTTAATTTACAGACGTTTAGTGGACTTTCTGAGACATGCAAAAATGTTGAAATTAACATTTTTGTGTTAATTTTAACGTTTTTGCATGTCTCAGAAAGTCCACTAAATGTCTTTAAGTTAAAATTAACATTTTATAATATTTTTTACAGTGTATGTACTAATTTACCCCACATATTGGGGCAAGTTAACTACAATGCAGTATTTTCGTATTTCATTTATTGCAAAGAAAGTATACAGTGTATAGAACTATTATTAGTATGAAAATGTAGAGAAAGGTTCTCTCTATCACACTGATGTATTTTAATCATAATAGTTAATTATTTAAAAAATCAAATGCCAAAATTGTAAAAACTGTGCCAACGAGACCTGATCTCCTTTATTGTTATTTCTTTGATGAGCTTACCTGATGCTTCGTCTACGTCAAATAAAATATTCTTGCTAGGGTCATAATTGTCAGATTTTATCACTTCCTGTCTTTGAAAATTATTCCACACATAATCAACATATTTCCATTCATACCGATCTTCTAGTTTAACACCGAAGCTTATATTTGCGATCATTACAAGTAATACAATTATTAATGAATGCATCATTTTCACTGTAAATGACGATCACTAACAATAATAATAATAATAAAATGATTGAATGTCAGCGATAGAGATATATCACAAAAGTGAATGCGGCAATAATAAGTTTATGTGATGTTAGACAATATTCACTGCAGGATTATATAGAAATTACTAAGTTCGTATAATGCATAGACGTTCTTAAAAGATATTTTTCCAAGAACTTTTATTATATAATATAATAATCGATAGTAAAAAATGCTAATATTTAAATTTATGTCAACCTTATCGATAATAATAATAATGGTTTTAAATGTATATAATACGCAATATGTTATTTATCAATGAGTCCGTGAGGAATAGAGATAACGTATGTGTTACACAGAAATACGTTTTATTATTAAATATAATTAAACATAATAAAGCAAGTCACGTAAAGGTATCACCATTAAACTGTTTCATCTCTGTCAATCACTTATTATTTATTATAAAAATTATTGTAAATTGCATCTCATTTATATATATATATACATATATATTCTTTATTAATTAAATTTTAATTTCATTTGTATCTTATATGTCTCAAAATATATTTAGAAAGTTCGAATATATTTTGTAACGTTCAATTACATTTTGTATTCACGGAAGTATTTATTATATATATGGATGTTTAGTTTTATACATTTTATTAAATATATTGATCTTCTACAATATTTGAAATACACCATTTGATTTTTACAAGGTTATTTAATAAAATCATTAAACATACTGATTTGATTAATGGTTACACCAAATTCGAAGAATCAGCTGAAAATTAGTTGGTATTGTTAAAACGATAATTAATAATATATTCTGTTGTAATATAAACATGTGATAATAAATTGTTTAAGATAATGTTATAAATTCTAAACCATTACATTAATAGAACTATTTTTGATACAATACATTACTAATTACTTTAATGACAAAATACAAGTGATTAATTTTAAGAAGAATTATGTAAAAAATGCTTTTTTCGCTTGATAAAACATTTTATGGCATTTAATTTATTCTACTTCGTTACAGGTGCATAATGCGTAGGTTATTTTATTAATTAAACCTTTAAAAACAAAAAATACTGCATTTTTTATGTCATTAAAATTTCTTTGTTTTTTGTTTTATAATTGTGAAATAAGAGGACAATGGGTGAGGATTATTTAAATAAAGAAATTGTTTTATACAATTATTTTGTTATTAATAATTATATACAACGTATTAATATTACATAATAATAAAAGTGTGCGTAACTAATTGTTACAGAGGAGAAGGTGGTATTACAGCCAATGTAGATATTGTGGCCCCCCTTAATATCACCGCTTTTATGTAGCGAATCCTAATGATTACTTATGCAATTATTTATTTAGTAGCTCGCCGTTACACCATTAATGTACCAATACTCAATAGCCAGCACTCATTATAACGTATTTTTTAAGTATTTCGAATCGTTTTTGAGGTACATTTTAGCATTTAATTACACTTACTTCCTCTCTCATTTTTCTTGAACTCGAGCGTATTATCACACGAATAGATGTATATCTGATTGTGTTGTTTGCTAATTTAACATTTTATTTGACTGTACATATTTTGAGTTATGCAAATTTATACAATAGCATGGCATTTTGCTAATATGGCCCTCTATGCGTATTAATTACTCACGGCCTCTTCTTTGATATTAAAATAATTATTTGATAATCGATTGTAGCTTTACTATTAATCTATAGTTTATATTACATGTATGTAGATTTCTAATACTGAGCAATTTACATGCGGCAGGAGTTATATATATATATATATATATACATATATTTGCATAATTCGAATACATACACTATAATATTTTACTTTTTATGTGAATTGTGTGTGTGTGTGTGTGTGTGTGTGTGTGTGTGTAACCAAATACTGTTTTTTAAACAAAACGAATTTTTTATATCAATTTTTGTGGAAGGCTATATTACTATCCCTGTTTTCCTTCGAGCCATTATATAGTGTCGCTATATTTTTATAAATAGCGTCCTAAGTAATAAATGTTTCATAACTTTAAGTCTAGAATTGATTGAACAATTTATACTATAGAAAATAAAATGATCTTAAGAAAATTTTTATTTAAGATGCTTACATATAAAAAATAGAAAACAAGGTATAATGTAGAGAGGGTGATATTAAGGCATCCCACTTACATTTTGTATAATAACTTGGTTAATAATCAATATTTAAATTTTAACAATTGTAATTGTTGAGTTATAAATTTAAATATTGATTATTAACCAAGTTATTATACAAAATGTAAGTGGGATGCCTTAATATCACCCTCTCTACATTATACCTTGTTTTCTATTTTTTATATGTAAGCATCTTAAATAAAAATTTTCTTAAGATCATTTTATTTTCTATAGTGAACATAATATGTTAAATTCTTAGGGGCTAGTTAAATTCTAAAGTATTATAATATCCACGTTTATGACCGTGATGATTGGAAACAAAACAATTTGCTTTTTCTATTTCTTCCTTATTCAACGAGAGAATGCGGAAGTTTGTCTCGTTGAATGTTAAATCATGCTGAAATCTGTTTGTTAGGACTAATACTTTTTCAATATCCTGATTTCTTCCATCTTTCCATCCTTTATGTCTTGTAACAGTTATAGCTTTCATTCCACTCGGAAATTGTAACTTCTCGGAATCTTGCGCAATGACCATCTAAAAATTGACATTTCATTTTATAACAATTAAAATTGTATCAATACCTGTTATCAATATAGACGTAATTATGTTAATCATAATAGAATATGAGTATAGTATTTACAATAATTTATTATGAAGTAATATACAGAAAATAATTATATTTAAATATCTCTTACACTGCTGGAAGGATCGAATTTCTTAGTAGTGTCCGCACAAAGAATAGACGTTTCCGGGATATTGCTAAAAAATATTACATTACCGTAGGATGCTATCGGTCCCGTTTGGCCCCAGATAATATACCCGCCACTTTAGTTAATTTATTAGCCTTACTATTGCTTAATTTTGAACATTTTTTTAGAGTATGCTTATTCATCTTGAATATTCTATTCCCCGCTAAAGGAGCGTAAAGTAAATCTAAAACATTTACAACGGACGTATTAATATAATTGCAAAAATCAGCGAATGCTATCGATTATTTACAGAAAAATTTTCTATCCTTTGTACATTTTTTATCGTTATAAGGCGTAAATATGGATAATTATTAACATTGAAAAAGTAAGTAAATGGAAGTATTTGGATGTAAATATTGTCAAAACTGGATTTAAGTTCTGTAATATTTACTCATATAATGTAATAAGCTTACATAATTAAAATCATTTTTGTTTTAAAAATTTGAGTACTTGCTTTTATTAATGGTTGTTAAACCAAGAATACCGTCTTCCAAATAAAAACTCTCGTTTTCTATAGTAAAATAGGGATGAGTTGGTTTCATGAAATCAGATTCAATTCTGCAGAAGCCTGAGTGTCTGTTGTATGTCACTAAACCGTAACCTGCAACGTCAGCCATATCCCGACTAGAAATTTATTCAGTGGTCCTAGCTAGGTTGACCTTATTAACCATCAGGTCCTGTTAAGGTAAGGTTTATTGGGACCTGATCAATCATGTAACGCAGCACATTAGGCAGGACCTTATCGGGATAGCCTTATCAGGTTTATATCGGGTTCATTATTAAATCCTTATTAACGCGCCACAGCATACCCGATTAGAAATTTATCCAAGGATTTTAGCAGATCCTAATCAGGTTGACTTGGCTAGGACCTGCTAAAATCACTGGATAAATTTTTAAGTCGAGTTCAAATGCTATTAATTTAGCATCACATTCCAAAAGAAGCAAAAAACATATATTTCAGAGGCCCAGAAGACATACTCTGAAGGAACTTTATAATCTCTCTAAGAGATTATCCAAATTGATTTGCCTACGCCTTCTTATAGAACTTGTAGACATTTTCTTCTTACGAGTAACACGTCCATCTCGTGGCGTGGCTGCGTACTAGAAACGAGATCAACCATACTCAAACCTGACGAGGATTTTCTTAGATGTACCTTATTCAGGATTATCTTAGGTCAACCAAACTAGGTCCTTATAACATATAAAGCAATTATAACCTTACAAAGGCCAACCATATTCAAACCTGACGAGAACCCCCTTAGGTGTACCTTATTCAG